AGAGTGATTTTGGCTTCATGCACCACTGAGCAACTTTCATAGGATTAAATGGGGCCGCATTTTAAATGCTGTATCCAGATTTTTTAATACATCCATGATTCGTCCATGGTGGAAGTAGTCAAGAACACTTTTTTTAACTCTAGGGTGCACTAGTGCTAGCAAGCAGCATTGTTTGTTTTAGAAAGGCCAATATTTGTTCTTTGTTTAGATTATCAAAAGGACAATAGATCATAGATGTTTGTTTCTTGCTGCCCTAACTAGTACACTAGAAAAGTTTCAAATGTTAATTAAAAACATTGCATTCAACATTGTCTGTTGATACTTTGATCCTTTGAGTGGAGTTGGTGCTAGAATGGACGGTCCAGAGGGACGAGTCCTGCTTGTTCACAGAGCAGGGGCACGAAATCCCCGAGGAAAAAAATGATAGAGTCCACAGCTCCACGTTCAGGGGTATGTGGACACTGTCATTTTCTTCAAATTAACTCAAACAAGGACAGACAAAAAAAAAAAAAACTCCACTGACAGGTGCATGCCTTGTTTTCATATACCAGGGATGAGAGAGCCATATCACACATGGTGTTGGGATTTTGCAGTACCACAGAGAATGCAGATAGTGACGAAAATCCGTTTTCCACAAGCAGCCACAACCTGTCCATTAAACTGTTAGCCGAGTTTTGTTGAGTCTGACTTTAGTTTTGTCAGTGGACTTAATTTCAGTCCAGTCAGACTGTGTTCAGGTTTTAGCTTTTTTTAGCAAGTCTAATCTTTCCTTGCTGGCTGCTCAGCTTCTGGAAACTCCCCAACCAGAAAGCATGGTTTGTTACTATGACAACATTCTCATGTCATTAGTTGCAGCATTACTGCATATTTTAAAAGTGATTTTGATATTGATTTCTTCTCTTCTTTTTTTGAAATGTTTGACATGTAAAATAAATCATGGTTAAATGTCACAAGTTGTTTTTGATGTGATGAAATTAATAGTAAAAACAATAGATTAATAATAATATGATAAATCCTAGGGCACCCTTTGCTTGTCCTCAAGGCACTGTAAGATGCTGCAGCACCCACTTTGGGAACCCGAAGGCAGACTAGCTAATTTAGGGTTAGGGTTAGATGCTTAAATGGTTAGATGGTTTAACTCTGATTGGATAAATCCTAAACACATTTATTAAAAATCTGATGTTTGCTTCTTAATATTTTTTAATATTAAAGATTTAAAATCCAGGTTTTCAAGGGCTTTAAAAAAGGGCACATTTGAGAAACATAAATTATTTATACAAACAGCAAGTATTATCTATTTAGTATTTCAACTGTACTATAAATCAGTGGATGAATCAAAGTGTTTTAGTAGGCAGATAAAATTACTCTGTTTTGGACATCCAATGCCAAGTACCACAGGTCAGACTTCAAAACAATGTATCTGCCTGTACAAAGCTGTTATCTGTGGTTGAGCATCAAACCACCTGCTCAGTTTCAATGACATGAAGTGCTCCTCCCAACCGGCACCCCTGCCCTCAGCAATACCTCTGTATCAACATCACCTCTGTGATTACTGCCCAGCCTGCCAACAAGCCTCTGTGAATCTTAAGAGCCATCCGATGTGCAAGGCCATCATCACATCCACAGCCCTGCAGCTTTGCATTTAACATCCCCTAAATCCAGTATTACCTGATCAAGGACTGAGCTTAGTTTGTAGTCCAGGCTGTGCTTGTCTCCTCTTTGGACTCCAGAGTTCCAAAAGAACTCTCTGTTGGCTCTCTAAACTCCTCGAGCTGCAGCCAACCTTGCTCTCATCAGCTGTGAATTCTACCACTTCAACCACTTCCTGTACGTCCTCTAAAATTAAATTCAAAATCCTGGGAATGGCTTACAAGACTAAGAAGGGTGCTCTGATCTCTCCAGGACCTTTAATTCCAGCCAGTGCCTTTTTACTCTCACTAATTCTGCTCTGCCTTTCCTGAGAAGCTCTGACCAGCACTCTTCCACTGCTTCATTCAACTCCATCTTGTTTCCATCTTGACATGCAGCAATGGGCCACAGGCCGGGCCGCTGCAGCCTTATACATGGGGCACCTGCTCTATCCACTTAGCCACTGATGCCCCTATGCTTGTAATTTTGATGAAGGAATTTACTCTTACTCTGCTCTTGTAGTTGTCATCAGTGTTGGGATGTAGTGAACTACATGTAACTAGTAGTTTAACAACTCTTTGTAGTAGCTTGCTGGTAGGTCAACTACATTAATTTTTTAAACAGTGATTCAAGTAGTTAGTAGTAGTTAGATTATGTTTTATTTTCCATTTTTTGTGTAGTTAACTACAGAAACAATTTGTATGGAGCCCAAGAAGTTTTTTGCTGGCCTGTGACTTTGCTTTATATTTTGTTAAAAGTTTGTATCATATGTAGGGGTGGGGTAATAAATTGAATATACTCGATGTATCACAGCTTGTTCCAGGAATGATATTTAAAATGACTATATAGCAAACATTGAGTATAAATGGTCACCTCATTTTTTTAGCCACTAGCATGAGACTGGATTTGGCATTTTGATTTTCTTGCTCTCTCCCTCTCACAGACACACACACATAAAGAAAGACTCAAAAACACAATATGTCACACACACTCCTCTGCCTGTCCAGGTCACTTTCTCCCAAACATTAGTGTGTGAGCAGGTGCAGCGTGTTTCTCATTTACTCACATTTTGAAACTATGGTACACCAATGCGACTTGCAAATATTATTAATATTTTAACTTAAGAGCTATGAGGGGCTTTTTTTTCAGCTTACAATGAATAACTCATCACATTTAACAGCACCACGGTTACAGTTTAACTTAATGAATTTAATGATCGCGTGAGCAAAGAAAGAGTGTTTCTTTGTACATGCAGGGCCCCAGACCACGACCATTTAGTCACATTTTGCGACCATGGAGCACCAGTGCGACTTGCAGGTACTATTAATATATGAAGTGGAGAGTGGTTAGTTTGTTTAATCTCACAGTGAGTAAATTCTCATGTTTAACAGTGTTGCTGTAATGGTATAACTGTGTGCTAACTGCTAACATCTGACTCTTGACCAGAAGCGTCAAGTTCACTTCATAAACACTTCTGGCCTGAGATGAGCCAGGTACTTCAAAATAAAAGCACCAGTGGTTCCACTGTTATTTGTTTGATTATTGAAATACTTTATTTAACCTTATTATAACAGTATTTCATTTCACATTGTTAAAACAGTACTTTATTATGACTGTAGCTCCTTTTATTTAACTGTATTGTAACTAAAGTTCATTTAATCATTTTGTATTTTAGCACTCTACATTACTTTAGAGATTTCAAAATATCAAGATTTATACTGTGTATTGGGATATAGCCTAAAAATATTGCAATATTATTTTCTTAGCCATATTGCCAGACCCTAATCATATGTACATTGTCACCTTGATCATGTTTTTACAGAGTAGTTTGAAGCAGATAGATACACAGTTACCACCATATATCTGCCTTATTAAGTTGTCATGGCAAATGTGTGAGCATACAGCTGCCAGTTTACATATATCATGAACACAGAGCAACAACTATTATGACAAATGTAAGAGATAAAAGGAGAATGTACTGTATTTAGGACTGTTTGTTATTTATGAGGGTGGAGGGGGTGGTGGAAAAAGGGAGAGGCATGTATAATAATTTTTTAAGCACACAAATTGGGGGGGGGGGGAGGGGGGGGGGGGGTGGTAACCTCTATGTGCTGGCACCACCCACTGCAACTCATGAAAATGAGTTGAAATGAAATGAAATGACACAGCTGTTCTGTACAATGCTAACTACATAAAAGTACTTAAAACAACCTTGTTGCTGTTTAAGAGCTTCCCACTCTTCTTCAATAACTTTTATGAGCTACCACATTCTTAAAAAATATATGATAAAATATGATCCATGGAAACACATTGCTTGGTAAATGAATCACTTCATTCTGTGTCAGTGAAGTGGCAAGTCAAGAAAACAATTGCCCAATCATAGATATATTTGGAAATAACGTGAATAACACAAATGCCTCAGGTTTTAGTGCTGAATCACGCATTTGACGATCATTACATTCTTGTGACAAAAAATGACGTTAAAATCATTTCTTGTTGATTTCCTTTTCTTTTTTGTGTTTTTGTGTCATTTTTAGGTTTTAGGTTTTTAGGTTTTTGTTTGTTTCTTGTTGTAATTTTGTTTTTGTTGGTTTTTTTTGTGCATTTTGTTGTATTTTAGGTAGCCTTGTGTAACATCTTGGCCAAGAGACTACAGATGAAAAATAGTGTTTTGGCCAATAATGGCAGTTTTATACCATGTGTCTTTATTAATTTGCACCGTCCCTTCTTTAATAAACTAAACTAAACAAATACACAGACAAGCTTCAGGTTTGTAAGAGGAAAAAATGAGAGCCTAAATCTGAATGTGTTTGACAGTGGTACTGTAACATTGAGTGAGTGTGTAGTAAAACAGAATGATTGGCCAAAGTGAAAGGCTAAAAACCTCAGGGGGGCTGCAGAGTTGCGGATTAATCTTGTTGACTTTGGTACAATAAACAACTCCTTTTTACATAAGTCATATTCATTTGACTCAGTGGCAACATAAAAGATATTGGCTATGTTATTTTACTTTTGGAAAGCCATTAATATATTATTATTAGAATTAAGGCTTTGGGAAATTAACCCTTTAGGTGAGAAATACATTGACACTTAGTCACAGAGATGTCCCTCCTAGATCATTGGCAGTTCCTGCTGCCACACATTTAATAGCAGATGTCTAGTGTTTAAGGTAATATAATAGTAATTTCACATACTTCCATGCACAAATCGGGATTGAGCACCATTGAATGAGAACCTCATGGCACATGGCGGGTTATTTGGTCACTGGCACAAGCCAGGCTTGCCTTCAGATATGCAATGTACCACTGACTCATGAATTAATTTGTTGTCATGTCTTAAACATATTTTGTCTTTTTTCTGTCGTCCTGCAGGGCAGAACCTATTCTGCAGAGAATAAAGGAGGACCGCACCCGGGTGGTGTCTCCCTCTTTTGACAACATCAAGTATGATAGCTTTGAGATTGAAGAGTACCCGCTGTCTGCTCAGGGCTTCGACTGGGAGCTGTGGTGTCGATACCTCAACCCACCAAAGTCCTGGTGGACACAACGCAACCACACAGCCCCCATCAGGTAAACACAGGAAGAGCGAAAATACTTTGTTTTAAGCTTTACACGAGGAAGTTGACTTCAAAAATCATACAAAGGAAAAAAAAACCTTTTAGACATTTTATTTTATTGAAGAAAATTTCTTTTTATTCTGAAAGAAGGGACACCAGCAACATAATCTGCCCGTGCAGTATTAATTTATAATCATTTCACTTGAAGCACATTGAAGGTTTGATAAGATCACTTACTAAGCTCATTATTTTTACATTATAATTTCTTGAAAACTGATCTCCATGAATAATTATGTATGTAAATTCTGGTAAGTGTAGTGTCAATATTGTAACCCATGTTAAACCTCAGGGATGCAGCGCAGTGACAGAGCACATTAAGTGGAACACATAAAAGCTGAAGTCTTATCAGAAGCACTGGGCTGTTACACAGATCTAAGAGGAAAGCATGTACATGTCACCCTTACTATTACAGCACATCTGATGTGTGTGTCTAGTGTGTACAGTAATTGCACGTACCCTGATATGTATAGAAGTATCTAGGTCTTTACCACCATTGGCCAGAGAACACTACTAATATGACATTTCAATGTATTCTCATCAGAACACCTCGAGTACTGCCACTTTGTCAGTTGAACTAAATGTCAAAACCATGACATGTCAGGAAGCCTCCTGCATCAATTTGGAATGTTGGCAGATGGTATCTCAGCTGACACTTGTTATATACAATGTGTCTTTTCAAAATACACTTCCATTTTCACAGTTCCATTTTTACATTATTTCCGTAAGTTTAGGTAACAAAAATATGTGGTTAGATTTAGAAAAAACACCATGCATTGGCTTTAAATAATTATGATTCTTACAAATGTACAAAGTTACGTGACATTCATTACTACTGTAGCATGCCACATATACCCACATACCACATTGCCATTAAAATAACTCCATTGACTTTTGGTTCACACAGGAAACAAACAACTGGCTCCCAGGTGAAAGTCCTGTGTTTGTTTTTCTCATCCACCTCCCCTCCCACCCATCCTATACAGACTTTTTCACTTTTTATACAGTGGTAGTTGCCAGCGATGTCAGAAAAAGCTGCCGCTAAGTGGTTATCATATGGCAGTGTCTGTGTGCATGGATGTCTGACACTAACATCCCCTGACAAAGTGGCGGTATTTGATGAGTTCAGTATTTGATGAGTTTGGGAGTTGCCAGTGGTGTCAGAAATAGCCACCGCTCATGTGTATCATACAGGTGCATAGATTGTCTGTGTGCATCGGTGTTTAACATCCACTGATAAAGTGGAGGTATTTGACAAATGCAGTAGTTGCCCGCAGTGTCTGAAATAGCTGCTGCTAAGTACGTATCATACCACCACGAGGAGTGTCTCATTGTTTTGGTTTCTGATGCTGACATCCACTGACAAAGCATCAGTATTTGACAAGTTCAGAAGTTGCTGGTGGCATGCCAGTAATGGCTGCCACTCGGTGCATATCATACCGCTACAAAAGGTGCGTTTTTGCATCAGTATCTGATGGCAAAAATAAATGACAAAGCAGCAGTCTTTGATGTGTTAGGAGTGAGACGGGGCAGGAAAGATCAAGGTTGCATAGGCTACGTTCAGGCTACAGGCAAAAGTGGACCAACTCAGATCAACTGACTTAGATCAGTTTTAGTGTGAAAAACAGCAATCGCATGGAATCAGACCTTTTCAATTCTGATGTAGGCATTTCATATATGCTCCCAAATCAGATACACACACACACACACACACCCATGTGGAAGTCACAGCCATTGCTCTATAGGTGTCATTTCCACACAGGATTCTGGCGACATGTCCCATGACATGTCATTTTTTTGAAATGGCTGATTCTGTCTTTTTGAAAGCAAAATTTGTCAAAAATGTTATAAAATAGGCTTGCACCCAGAAATGTTGAACATTGCAAATTAAAGCATGTTCAAAAAGGTTTATTTGCACAAAGAAAACATACAGTGTAATGTAAACATTAGGGCTGTACCCAAATATTCGGATAGTCAAATATTCGTTTCTATGGGTAGGTATTCGTTATGAAAATGTGGTATTCGATATTCGTTTTTTTATTTATTTATTTATTTTTTTTTAATTTTTTTTTTTTTAACATTTTTTTTGGTGCTAAATGTAGTCTTTTTGTTGTTGGTAAATGCAGGTTATCAATAAAAATCAAAACTTTTAAATTGCATTGTTAAAAATGTGAAAATATAGTATCGCCTACCAACTGAGCTTGTGCGCACGGCACGCTTGAGCGCATCCGTCTGAGGCTGTGGATCAATGCCAAGTTTTACCACTTTATCACTATTCCCTCTAACTTGTAGCAGTTTTTTCATTATCTTTTGAATTTAATATGAGTTATGGAACCGTTTTTTGTCAACGTTTGTGTTTTGAAAACGGCCGCGGACTGTCACCTGCTCAATGCATCAGTACCTTCGGATGCCATGACAGTAATAGATTATAGATTAATAGATTATAATATTAATGTCAAAATATCATTTACAGACTGATTTAACAGACGATCACTGCTGCCCGACCCGCTGGTCAATTTGCGGGTCCCGCGGGTTACGGGTCGACCCACGCATCACTACTCAGCTCAGTCTATAAAGGCTGTACACAACAGTAAGGCTATAGACATTATATTCTATTCAGGCCGGCAAATTAAACAGGATGACTAGACAATGTGAAAATCAAAAGAAAGCATAGAATAATGTTCTGAAGGAGACTGTTGTGCCATGACATTTTTTTGTGGTTTGAGAGCAAAGATCCAGTCGCCGCTGTACAAAACTCCGTATTATAAAAATCCACTCCCCATAGAGTTGTCAAGGACAGGGAAATTAGCTTTAGCAACCAAAATAGTTTTTTGTACTAGGTTTTAAAGATGTTTATTACTTCTGTAAAGTTGGGCATTTTAACATGGGTGTCGATGGGGATTGACTGGCTTCTGGAGCCAACCTCAAGTGGTCATTCTGAGAACTGCAATTTTTGGCACGGTTGCTGCTTGTCTGTAAAAAAAATCTTTGACCCTTGTCTGCTGAGACTTTCCCCTCTGCCTATAATTTCTTATTTTCTTCTCATTTTCTGTGTTAGGCATGTTTGTGGCTGTGTACCTGCCTAGCACTCAGGTGAGGTTGGAGCTTGATGAAAAGCTAGTGATGAGGTGCCAGACTGTAAGCAGCAGGCATCCAAGAGAAACAGCACTGAAAAAAATGTATATTGAGGCAAAATGCCAAATGAGAATGAATCTGCACTGCACAAGTTATAATATACAAGTGTATTTCAAAATAAATTGCATTACAATCACTCACAGGCTTTTATTGTGATATTTAAGTAATACATGGAGTTTAACTGTGAGAACACAGTGAAATACAGTAATTCTACAGGAGCATATTGCTAAATCACAGTAATCAAATGTACAAAAACTGAAGTTACAGTTAAATTCAGTAATTTACAGGAATATACCACTCAGTACATTCAGTAATGTATTGGGCTTTAACTATGAGGTTACAATTAAATATAATTTCCAGCAGCATACTGCTAAATCACAGTAATATACAGGCATAACTACTGTGAGATCACAGTATACAGCTGTTATTTCATACCAATTTGCTGTACAAATGAACAGTAATTTACTGTGAAGGTAATACAAAAGGGGCTCCTACGTTTGTTGACGTGGCTGAGATAACATAAAAAGAAAGATGTTACAGGAGAATACATATTTGAAAGCAATATAGAATGCCTGGGAGCCTTACTGCAATATTTTCCATAATATTGTTATATTTTGAATTGTCACCTGCTGCCTGAATTTTGTCTTTTCCTTAACATAAATAAAGACATTTCCACCAAAGATGGCGCATTAAAATTCACCAGAATGCAGGAAATGAAGTTCAGATTTCCTGGTGGAGGAAACCCAGAGCCTTAGACCCACAGACACACTGCACAGTGTACAAGTGAAAAACAGCCCCACAAAGAGAGCAAAAGTGCCCACTCACCAATATCTGCAGGAGGATTATACGTCTGTTGTTGTCATTCATGGCAAGCATTAGCAAATCAATGATGCAGTGTTTATAGATTTAAACAAGGATAAGAGGATGTATGCTGCTCAATATTGTAATGGAGGAAGATGAATTCTTCCAATTATTTATTTCTTTATCTTCTTAAGCACTTTTGTCAATTGTAATTAGTCACTGGATTTACTCACAAGGGCCGCTTTGGAGTATTGTCATTATCACTTTAAGAAAGTTTTTGGGGAAAAGTTACACATTTCTTAAGTAAATATGTGTATTCTATTCTTCCTGATTAATTGAGGAAAAAAATTAGTTACATACACAGGGAGTTTGCACCACTAAAGTATAGTATAAACTATTGTATTTTTACATTTTTACTCCCGGACTTTGTCACATATGACTCTGTTCAGAAAGGATCTGCACTCCTCTGTAGCTCACTGTGGCTAATACCTCTTAATAATACTAAATTGTTTTTCATGCACTGTAAGCATGAAATCTTCATGTCAGCAGCATCATGTGTTTTAGGTTTTGAAAAGCAAAAATGGTTGATTTATATTTCACAGTCTAATGCCCCATTCAGACAGGATTAACATTAGAGGGGGAGCTGGGATTGAAATATTTAGTGTGTTCTTTGGTGATTGAACTAATTGTTCCAAATGATTTTTAACCACTGAGTAATTACAGGATGTGGTCTGTAATTGATTTGGACATTTCACAGGACAAAGCAGGAGGCATCAATAGTTTTTCCAGCCCCCTTTAGATGAAACCACAACCATTTCCGCCAAGGCCAGATGATTGGCTGCTAGTGCTGCAAGTTGTACTAGCTGCAGCATGCATGGCACCTTGTAAAACAGCACAGCTTGAGTTTATCAGTGGCACATCACCCTCCTTAGAGGCATGGGTTTCGATGACTTCCTACCTCCTTTATGTATCTATGTGTTTTGTTTAAACAAAACACAGGTTACCAAGTGTGGTAACTAC